AGTTCAACTTAAGTTGCTAACTCTGTTTCCCTTTTGGTGAGTAATCGAGTCAAATTGTGCGTGGCACTTCTTGTCTCTGAGGTCTTCAGCAGTGCTCTGATGTCAGATATCCACTTCGACTAAAGCCCTAATTATTATTATTTCAGTATGTTTTGAGGGATTCTCACAGGTTTTGACTGAGAGCAGACACATAGTGATCAGAAGTTATGAACATAGTTTTTTAATTTCTGTTTGAGAGTATACACACTGAGCCTCGTGGAGGTTTTTATTTTCCCTGTTTTTGGTTTGACAAAGAAAATTTTGAACAAGATATAATCTAATAACCCCCTGAGAACGAAATGAAAATAGGGAGGTTAGATTGTTTGGATAATTACCCACAGCAATCAAAAGTTAAGAAACATCGTGCCTTGAAAAGCACAATCAATTCAACTTTTGTTCCTATTTGTTTCGTTGCTGAAGTTGGAATTTTTTGTCGGAGCCGACAAGAAAAAAATTGCGACGAACACTTAGTTACATATTCAGTTCACGTTTTGGTAGACTCCAAAGTACGTCCAACCGCAGGAATATTGATCATATGATGAGGGGTAACAAGGAGGACCAATACGCAAAAAGAGTGGGTTGTTTCCTTGTGCATTGATTGTTTTGATCGTTTCACATGCAATCCATGTCATCTCACAACATCAAGAACCTTTTGTATTAGCCTTTTAACTTAATCGCTGACTCTGTTCCTCTTTTATTGGGCACTTGAGTTTCATTGTGCGTGGCACTTATTGTCTTCTAATTCTTGTACAGTACAATTCTGATGTCCGGTATCCAGCTCGGGGAAACCCCTAATGACTCCTGTTTCAATTTTTTCAGTGGCTTATGCTTTGAGGGGTTATGACACTAGAAGTTCTAAAAATTGTTTATATTTCCATTTTGGAACATTTGCATTGAGTTTCTCAAAGGTTTTTCGTTTCTCTACCTTTGCTTTCCACAAAAAATATTTTTGACAAGAAATAATCTACTAACTCACTAGGAAAGAAAAAAACATTGCGTGCTTGTCTTGCTTAATCATCGCTTCGGTAGTTTTGATTCGAAACCGTTAGCTGTCTCTATAGTTACAAATTTGCTGAGCCAGTGAATTCTTCTTACGGCCAAATATATGGGTTTAAAAATATCGTATAAATCATAGAAGGGATACGAAGCCATTTGGCCACCAATACCAGCCAAAATTTGGATAATAAATTCAGTCGTAGACCACAGCTTTCTCTGAATCGATCACCGAGAACTTGAAGTCGTCAACGAGCAGTCACTCAGGCTTTTAATGTGTCCTCTAAAGCCCTTTTTATGGTAAGTTCAGAATATATTTTGGACAAGTAATTTTCTACGAACCAAATAATTTACATTGAGGTTAGATTACATATTCATACTTTCACTCTTTTGTCCTTGTACAACAACTGCTTAAGCTGATTGAAACATTTGTTAACTCGTTAGCTACGCTTGTCTAAAACTCAGTGAGAAGAGAATGTGGCACCTCCTGTCATTCAATGATAGTTTTAAAGAAAAAGTTTAAAATCTCACTATTTATGAACTTTTAATTTGACTTTGCAGATGAATTCAATTTGCAGCCGATTATCGAAACGTTTGTTACTTTTCCCAACAGTAGGCTTTTTCAGGACTACTTTTACTAGAGACCACAAGATGCGCTTGAATACAGATTTTTATTTATTCATTTACAGGTTGCCTTGGGGATGCTTGTAGCCAGTACTTGTTCCGTAATGTTTTTTAAAAGAAAACAAAAGTTAAGAACCTGGAGAGGTCTTCATTCTCTTCCACCGGAATGGTTACCTCATCGTGCCACCATCGAATCCACCGACACCTCAACAAATGAATATACCAGCTTTATCAAAGAATCTTGGAAGGAACAGAACAGACCTCCACTCCTCCGTCAAGCAGCGTAGTTCCGATAGATGCCCATTCAACGTGACAGTTGTTGATTTTGTGAACACCGTTCCGAAGTTTCTTAGCAAAGCCACCCGTTATGGTTGTGATGCCCGCTGTAAGCCCGTGATGTACACTGATCAGGTGTTATTTAACAGATGCAGGAACTACTGGATGTGGACGCAAAAGACTTTGGAAGTCGCCTTTGTCTGGAAGATGGACGATTAACCGTTGGCTGTTTAACAAGTTTGTTATTTGACACATCATTTACGACATTTCGGTTTTGTTTGTTAATGTACAAAATCGCTACTGATCAAAGATTTGTGGCATGGAAAAGATGTTTGTTTATCGTGACGACTGTATTCGCAGTTTAGTAAGCTTTGTTTCAATTAGTTACTATTTCAGAGAAACTGAAAATCTGGTCAGTGACACCATGATCATTTAATTATCTCTGCCTGTATTGATTTCTGTGTAGGAACCTTCTTGCTAACTACTCCTCGTTTATTTTTCTATCATTTATAGTTCATTTACCGACCATATCTTGGGCCGAATTTACAGTGAGAAAAGATGTGCATCATTTTGAGCGTGTACTTGTGAAAACCTTTTACTTTCATCTACCACTTTGAATTCTTATTGTGGAAGCTTACTTCCAACTTCCTTGATTTAAGAGCCATTTTCCGAGAAAATCGAAAATCGCAAGACACTCGTAAAAAAATTGAATTTTTTTTCTTTTGCCAAAACACCCCTTTTAGTGACCTAATTCAAGAAAAAATAGTTTTGGGTTCAAGCGATTCATTGTACGGGAGAAATAACAAATAGTTTGAAAAATCGTTTTATTGCTATCTTTTCGCGCTTAAAAACAACAGAATCCGACCGCAACTTCGAGAAAACGGTGAACGCATAAGAAACAATCTCTAACATCGAAACTTCAGCCGAGTATTATTTCGTTCTTAATCTTTAAAATCCTAAAAGAAAATTTGAAGAAAGAAGTTTTTAACATTTACAATCGACAAGTTTAAAAAGGTCGTATTTGTGTCTCTTGAAATGTTAGAAAATGAAAGCGAACTTTAACCGTTGTAAAAGCCCTCTGGTATATGCCGCTTCCTAGTAAAACCCATATAGAATAAAGCCTTGGCTATTGAAGTAAATTACAGGAACGTTTTAGCTCTGGAAATTAAATACAGCCCTGACACTGGAGTAAGCAATTTGAGAATTTAAGTTAATAAACTTTATGCAAATTAGACGGCCCGCTAAATGAATTCATACTAAATGCAAAGTTTAGTATAAAAGGACTACTTAATGTTGCTTGAAATATGTTTTTACAGTGAAAATGTTATTTCTAGCTTTCAGCTGTGTTGGTAAGAGCCGTAAATAACTTTTTATATGACGACTGAAAAACGTTTGTTTAGCTACTTCGCTACCAGCGAAATCATTGAGATCGCAACTTCGAACTGAAGCTGTCATCGCTTGACGAAACTCCGTTACCACAATTTTAAAATAGTTTTCTTCAGGGGGAAAAAACAGAATTAAAATGCATTCGAGACCGTTGACTTCGATTTTGAATTCCTTTAGTTAAGATTTCAAGCCACCACAAGGTCTTATGACCTCTACTGACCCGGAAATCGGTTACATGCCAAGGTCACGTTAGCAAACTGTCACGAAATACTCGATAGCTTCTGTTTTCGGCCTTTGTTTTGGTAAAAAAAAAAATATAAACTTTTCACAGAACAGACCTTCTTGCTTTATTTGATTTATATATTTGTGTTGGTCTGGACACATGCATATGCTGACCGGCTGTGAAAGACATTCATCACAGTTTTTGATTCAGAGTGGTATAATATTTCCCAAAATATTTCAAACACAAATGTTTCCTTAATAAGTTCGTTATTCCCGAATTTCCCACCTTGCAATAATCCCTACAGCAAAAAAAAAAATAAAAATAAAAAAAAGCATAAAAGTCAACTTTATAGCTTGCTTTAGTTTTGTTTTGGATTTTTTTTATGATTTTTCCTCCGAAACCAGGAAACCCTAGCCAGGTAACTAAAAAATTCTCAGTTTCATTTAGAGCTTGTCCACAACACAACTTCAAACTTGCGTGTGCTTATCGCATCCTTAAAACCTTCCAGACCTCTTCAAAATTGTTGAAAAGCCTATTGAGGCTAATAATAATCTTTGAGTTAACTACGACCAATTCACGCCGCGAGCGCGAGAAAAAGAGAACCACTCCGCAGGGCTGAATACGCGATGTGGAGTGTTATAAAATTCCACATTCTCGCGCGTAACGCTTTCTCTAGAGACCTCTAGAAGTGTTGTTTAGCGAAGATAAACAAAGTTATCTTTGGTTAACTCAAAGAACTTGCAGAAATACCTCCAGCCTGCATAAAAGGCGCTTTATGAGCCAAGCGAGGCGAAAGTGGCATTTTGCACGAAGCGCGAGAAGCGACGAGGGGAGGAGAAAAATATAGCTTTAGTTTTCTCCATCCCTCGTCTCGCGCTTCGCACTCGTTTCGTGCTTCGAGCAAATGCCGCGTTCGCCTCGCTTGGCTCATAAAGCGGCTGTTATGCAGGCTAAAAGACCTCTTCACATTTATAAGATAAGGCGTCATTGATTTGTCAGAGCGGGAAGAGACATTTATAACGTGCAAATAGTCACGAGCTGAAAGGTAACTGACTGATTTGTAACAAGGACTCACCCTGACAAACAAGAAATGATCTCACTTTCCGAAAAGGAACGCTCTTTTAAATATAAACAAACTTCAGAAATAAGTAAAGGAAGCAAAACAATGAACAAAATAGATTTTTTTCTTGACTTAGTCATTCCGGCGAGAACAAATGGTGAATGATTCACTCCTGGAAGCAAGCCTCTGAGGAGAAGTGAGAACACCGTTTAGGCAAAACTCTACAATTTGTGTACTTTACTAGCCTGTTCACAGACTCTTCATTTTTAGATATCGTCGAGTGCACGTATAAAAAAAAAAGCGCGTTCCGCTCTCTCTCACGAGCAATCGCTTATCTTGTGTGCGCACCAAATTCCCAAAACAGAAAAACGTCTGTGAGCAGGGTAGTACTTTCTGTTTCTACATATTTTTCCCACGGAGCTGGCAAGTGCAATTAATGACGGCTTTTTTCAGCAGGTCAACGTAGAGCGCTTTGCGGCGAACAGGCTTGGGAGGTGCTTCTAATTCTAGTTGCTGACAAATGTTTTGAAGCATTCCAAGTTTAAGTCGCTCCAGAGATCCTCCCTTGGCCATGGCACAGATATCGTACTGATCGTAAGTGATGGGGTGCTGTAGCGTGATGGATAGGATTGTTTCTCTTGCCATGGTAAAGTTTTCCTCTTCTACTACAGCTTGGATTTCAGCATCGTCGGATGTTTGCCGTCGGACCTTCGCTGCAAGACGTGAGAAATATGAAGTGCACTGCTGCGGGGTAAGAAACTCGGATACTTTGAACAAACGAACACCATCAGGTCCTTGTGCACGTCTCATTTCACGTGATACGATATCACCGTCCAGTTTTCTGCCGCTGGTTTAACCAATTGTAAACTTTGCATTTAGATAATCCCTCTGGTTTTGGTTAAAGCGATATGCTTTTTTGCTCGGCTTTAGCGCCCATCCTTCTTTTACCTCTACTTCGCCGGATGTAGCCTCTCTTGTATCCCTAAAAGACGCAAACGAAATAACTTGACTGGTCGTGCCCTCCTCCAACCTGGACTTGTAGTCTAGTTTGGCAAGGTCTAACAAAGACCGTTTCTCTAAAGACTTGGTGCATTTTCTAAAGATAGGTGTTTTTCGAGAGAAGACAGCCTTTGAAAGACCTTAACACACCCATCCTGAGGGCAGGTAAACACGGATGACGATTCATTTGTATTGTCAGTGGGATCATGAACCTGCTCCACTTCCGTCTCTTGCTTCTTCCTTGCCTGAGTCGGTTTTGGGCTAAGGGGTTTAAACTCTCCAGAAGAAAACTCAGATGAAAGCCAACCAATGCCATGCTCTGAAGTAGATAACACATAAAGAAACAAGATTTATAAAAAGCACTGTTCACCTACTTCAATACTTCACTCTGCACAGCCTGTGAAGAGTGCCCCTTTGGTCCACTTTGCTGCGCGAACAGATGAAACGTTTGCTTTTTACATCTTATGACCGGACATGTTCTTCAGAACCGCCATATTCTGCAATGTTCGTTTTAAAAAATTTTGTAGAACAAATCAAGGACTATAAATTTATAAAGGGTCTATGGGGCTTAAGTCTTTTACAAAGCAAAACCCCACGGGGTGGCAGACACCCGCTCCTCCTGCGTACCAGGATGGGAAATGCATGCCTTTCATGCGTCTGAAGGCTATAACAAACGATAAACGTACACCTTTTACTCAAACTATAAAAAATATATATTTGCGCGATGAAATAATTCTAAAAAGGAAGAATTGTGAATTTTCATTAGACTAACCTTCTGATGTTGTTTCCAATGGGATCTCTTTTCCCTTTCCCATACCATAAGCGCGCCGAGCTACGAGAATTTCGTCCTTAAACTCGAAATTGTTTTATTTGTTGATACCAATAATCTTTCTGTTGTCATCTACTACTGCTTCCTCTTCAACACTTTGCATGACAGCAACTCGAACTCCTTCTATCCCCCCATGCGAAAGAAGAGCACTCTTCAGTTGTTCGGCATTGGTCACGTCATTTCCTTCGTTTACGAAAGTCCTGACGTGATTCTTGCAGGTTGCAGCGAGCCTGTCTGCGGCACCTTTTCCACCCTGTGGGTCAGAAAAGTCAATGCGCTTGATTTCGATGCCGGTGGAGGAGGATATCACTGGGCATGAGAGTACGGTGGACGACGAATGATAACATCCTGCGTTATCTTGGCGAAAGAACGCCTTGTTAATCTCACTGTGCTCCAGCTTGATGGTATGCAGGACATCCTGCATGATTTTAACCACTGCAGCACTGCCTTGATTGCACGACTGGACTATGTGCAGAAAGCCCTGCCACTGGAGTACCCCGCTCACACGACGGTAGACGACAGAAACGTGCCAGGAGATACCTCGCTTACCAATCCAGTCGGTTTGGGACTCTCTGTATTTTTGTGGCAGGAACTTCATGGCCCAGTCGTTAATTATCAAGACAGTGTTTGACAAAAAACAAAGCTCTCCCAACAAACGAGACAAACTCCACTAACGCTGTTTCGGTATTCGTAATACTAGACGGGAATAATTCAATTAAAAATAATATCGTAGAGGCACGTGCAATAGTAAGTGGCGAAAAAGTTCGTGACAATATATAAATTTTATTCCAGGAGTATTTGACCTGGAAATGTTTTATTAATATTGTTCCTAGAGTCGAATATTTCTACACTGATGATCTATAAACAGACGTACGGTTGTACATTGCTTCTTTGTCTGTTTACATTGTGTACGAAGTATAGCACGTACCGTCATATGCGACAAGCTAGCGTGACCAATCTCTGCACGTTTGCTAAATTACACGTCATATGATCTTGTTATCCCGTCTAGTATCTGATTTGTTCGCTCAATAAGAATAATACTCACCTTGTTAACTGTGTGGTTTGAGCAGTGGTTAATTTTCATCATTGTATGTTATTTTCGGATCAAAACATAATCGGGTTTCATTATTATTAAAGCGTCTGATAATGCGTAATAAGCGCTGCGTGGGAAGTGTTTAGATAGCTCAAACGCTGAACTTGCTGGACACATTTTGGTCAAAATCAGGTATGGATGAGTTGCCACTTCACAGGACAAACAGATTCAGAGATGGATTTAACTTCTATCGCAACAAGCAATGGTAAGTTGTTTGTTCAACAAAACTTTGCGTTAAAAATATGAATTCATTCAGCGGGCCGTCTAATTTGCATAAATTTTATTTACTCAGATACTCAAATTGCTTACTTTAGTGTGAGGACTATATTGGATTTCCAGAGCTAAAACTTTCCAGTAATTTAGTTCAATAGCCAAGGTTTTATTCTATATGGGTTTTACTAGGAAGCGGCATATACCAGTGGCCTTTTACAACAGTTAAAGTTCGCCTTCATTCATTAACATTTCCAGGGATACAAATTTGACCTTTTTAAACTTGTCGATTGTAAATGTTAAAAACTTCTTTCTTCAAATTTCTTTCAGGAAATTAAAGAGTAAGTACGAAATAATACTCGGCTGAAGTTTCGATGTTAGGGATTGTTTCTTATGCGTTCACCGTTTTCTCGAAGTTGCGGTCGGATTTTGTTTTTTGAGTACGAAAAACCAGCAAAAAATCGATTTTTCAAACTTTTTGTAATTTCTCCCGTACAATGAATCGCTTGAATCCAAAATTATTTTTTCTTCAATAAGGTTACTAAAAGGGATGTTTTGGCGAGAGGAAAAAAAATTCGTTTTTTTCACGAGTGTCGTGCGATTTTCGATTTTCTCGGAAAATGGCTCTTAATGAGAAAACAGTTATAAAATACGACCCTTCTTCAAATGTCCTGTTTGTCTTGTTATCCAACAATCTTTAAACTCTATTTTCTTTAGAATTCTCTCATTCATCTTGATTCAAAATCTGCCGACCTATTCCTTCCAATTTTCATACTTCATATTTTACTTTATTTAAGTCCGATTTCGATTGGGAACAGTAGAAGAAAATTTGGAAGGGACTCATTTTTAAAATAGTAAAAAATGGAATGATAAAAAATTTAGGAGAAATGATAAACGTCTGATTCGCTTCTCGCACATGTGCCTGAAGAGTGAAGTGTTGAATCGGCAGCTCAGTTACCTACTCCTTTAAAAGGGTTGAACCAGCAGTTTAGGCCAGATTGAGCTTGGCTTCCCACAAATTAACAATAAAAGAGGAGAGAGTCAATGTTGATGGTGGGTGTTGAAGAAAGAAAATTTCACCTATAACCTCTTTTTCATGTATTGTTTGTTGCTGGTTTTTTTAGGTCAACAATGGAATACTTTGTATCTCATTAAAGTGGACAATGGAATACTTTGTATTTAACTACAACCAACTGGCTTCCGACATTATCTTCAATAGTTGTGTATCTCAACGATATAAATAAATAAACCGTCGCCTACAAATATCAAATTGATGTTAGTGATATGTTTTTTATATTTATATGACTCAAAAGCTCAAAATTATAAGATAGTTGAATAGTGAGCTTTCACAAAATTTATTGAATCGAGCTTCAACAGACATTTTCACAGGAAGCATGGATTACAGAGTGCGAGATCATCGTCGTGTAGATTCGCTATTATAAATTGACAAGATCAACACAATGAAGGAGAATCTAGCCGATTCTTCACAAAACGAATCACCGATGCGAACGTGGTGAAACGCAGGGCAATTGAAAGGAAAAAAACAGGAATAAAATGGTGTTCAAACTTTTTAATGCGGCAAACGGCTGTCCAAAGTACTAAACGTTTCCGCTGGACTAGGTACAACTTTAGGGCTTGTGAAAAATTACAAGAAAGAGAGCTCATATCAGGAAAATATTAACGTAATGGTACTAATCACCAACGAAGTTCGTGAAAAACAATCAAATACAGGAAAAAAAATGTAAACTAATTTTCCACATGTTTTCACATTTTCTTAGAAAAAAATATTACAATTTAATTTGTATTGTAAACAATTCAGCCTAAATTTTCAGTCCATATCAATCTTCTCCATCCTTAGTTGTCTTTTTTTCCGTGTTATTTCATTATGTCTTGTTGTTGTCCATTCACCCTGAGCACAGCTATTATGAAGTTTCCTTTCATTATTTTAGAGCTATTCTATGATTTGCCAGAAGGACTTAAAATATCAAGACGACAAATTAACTGTAAGAAATAACGCAGCTATTTCCTCTAGGCTAATTAAGAAAATGAAGACGCTTTTTGCCATTCTTTATGTGTCTACAGCTCAAGAACATAAGCAACTCGCACTACTTGCTCCTCCCATAGCCAATAGTACCTACACTTTCTTCTCAGTAGCTGCAGTGTGTATTAAATGAGTTTGTAGCGGTCGTCGCAGCCTTTGCTTGTGGCGATGCTTAAAAACCGTCGTATTGTGTCAATGAAGTCTTCAACTTTAAACGTAAAGGGGCATCGTCTCGTGTAGGTTGATCTTCTGTCCCTGGGCCTTTTACGATAGAATTGAGTTGGAGGGTTTGACGGAAGGACGATCATGTAACCATGGCGACCAATGAACCGCAGAATATCATCTGAAGAACTTCCAGTATGATCTATTTGAAGGCATTGCGCAAGGCTTGTCCAATCTTGGCTGCATGGCAAAGTGATCACGAGAAGGCAGGACAACGTCACAGTAAAAGTCTGTTATACAAAAATTTGCTTTTAACTATTTATCTCGATGAATTATACTACAATATAAACTCACTTCGCTGATAAAAAATTGCATGCCCCGTAATCCGCAGGATATTGCAAACTCGCTTCGATGATCTATGAAATGTGTGTGTCAATCTAAACTAGATGCGGTTTTAAAAGTTTCAGATGCCACGTGTGTAAACAAAATTGACAAAATTGCTGCCTGTGTACTCACCAACTTATCACTTGAGCAATTTATATTGAAATTTATCAATGCTTCATTTCCTTCGTATGCGTGGTATGACCATTATTTCCAGTTATGTTCAAGGGTGACAGGTTTGGCATACCAAATTTTGATGGTTGAATTTTTCAAGTTAAATTTTCATTTGCAGGGTGAAAGTTCTTAGAAAATGAAAGATCAAACGCCACTAGTCACCCATAATAACCAGAATAGAGCTAACCAGGTAACAAGCGTTGGGAGACCCCAAACAAAAGGCCTTAAATGAAAAAATATAAGAAAAAAATTTAAGTAGCATTTAAAAAAACCAAGCTTACTTGAATGAATAGTTTCCACATTGTTGCAAATCTTCAGTCTGGCTTGCGCTCCTGATCGGACTTCTTCGATGCGTTTCGCTAGCCTTTGCTTTTCTTAGTTCTTAGAAAATGAAAGATAAAACACCAGGTAATAAATGTTGGAAACCCACAACAAAAGTCTTTAAATAAAAAAAATGTTAGAAAAAAGTTAAAGAAGCATTAAAAAAAAAACTTACTTCAATGAATAGTTTCCAAATTGTTGGAAAACTTCAGGCTGGCTTGCGCTCCGATTCCGACTTCTTCGATGCGTTTGGTTGGTCTTTGCTTTTCTGTACTGGAGGTTAGCGTCGTTTAGCTGCTTTTATGGGCTGGTGTTTTGTCATATATTGATGGAGATGCAGTCAAGTGAAGTATTTTCAGTCTACTGTTTTTTGTTTTTTGTTTTTTTTTTTGATGCAACCCGCTCTCTTGGTGGTATGAACCCAGGATGGATCTAATTAACTCTTTGAGATTATAAGTAGGAAGTGATAAAGATATTCAAAACAAAAGCATGCAATAGTATTAATGATATTTCACTATTTTTGTCGAGTCAGGTTTCCTTTGAAAATACGCACTGTCAGTGGTTTTGCATTGCACACCTTTTGCTGTTTATGATTTCACTTGCTCTTTTTGCATCTACAGTTAAAATACCGGCTTTTTTGTGACTACGAAGGTAAAATGTTGCTTCTTTTTAAGAAGACAAAACATTTTTTCTGTTTTTGAAAAACGCAATCAACAGAAATTTGATTTGAACTAAGCAGCGGAGATCCTTCCTGACTTTTAGAGTTTTTGCTTTATTGAACAGCCAATATACAAGTTTAAAAAATCTCAGTGGAGTTCCATTCCGCAGAATTGATCCTAAGTAACCATAGATTAAAGTATTAAACCACGGATTGTCCAGAAGGAAACTCATACGGTTGAAAACAACGCTTTTTCCATAAATAACCGTTTTGTGATATACTAGACTGCGACTGCCAGTGACCGGTCCCATAAACGCAGACCAAACATCAAGAATCACACTTCCACAACAACTTTTATAACAATTTTTTATTTCTTATTTTTACTTTTTTGAAGAACACTTTATTGCTGCAGGATACGTTAATTACGAACAGTATTCATATAACGCTTTAAACATCTGCTTTTGCTTTGTAAAATAAAAAGAATAAAATAATAAATTATAAGAATAAAAAGGTTTACCCTTAATGGTCGACGTGATGTTTTTAATGCTTATGTGTAAA